CCGGCGAAATAGTACTTTAAAAGTGGAGTGCACAGAGAGCAACGATTGTCTCCGAAAAGGAGTTAACGATGTCGGCAAGTCGCCGCAGTGCCTGCTGCAAGGATGGTAAATCTCGTGCCTGTTGGAAATAGTGCGTTAGAAATGGAGGCTGGCAGAAAGGAAGAGAAAGCTGTGCGAGTCGTCGCAGTGCCCGTCGCTGGGGAATTTCGGCTTCCTAGACACCGTGGTTTCCGAGATAATAATTTACCCGTTAAAAATTTTCACGGGGGCGTACTTGTTACTCGCGGGCAGGGGAAAGCTGAATTTAAATTTTCTGGGTAGCAAATGGGCGGGGGACGTGCTCATGAAATTTTAGCCTTCTACCTTCTGTGGTTCCGCGACACTGATTTTACCCGAAAAACTTTTACGGGCCGTATGTGTTACCCGCAGGTACGGGAAGGCTGAATTTAAATTTGCCGCGTCACCCGTTCGCGGGGAACACTATACTAAAATTTCAGCCGCTTAGCTTTTGTGGTCCCCGAGTTGAAAATGCGGGACAAAATGTGGGACACACACACACACACACACACACAAACACACACACAGACAACCCCGTGACAATATTCGTTTGTACTGCTGTTACACAGCACTGAACACATAAAAACCAGTACTTGTTTCGCAGCTCGCACCCAAACTTGCAAACAAGTGCAAAAATGTGCGGCCTAGCTAAGCTAAATTTCGATATTTGTCCAAAAAAAAAAAGAAAAAAAAAGTCAAAAAAAATGATAACGTTTGAAAAAAAGTAAATAAAAAAATTCATTCAAAAATGATAATATTTGTACTTAATTTTAGGCCGGTGGCATGTTGACGCTACGTACACGAATGCAATTCCGTCGTGTATGTAGAGTTTTTTCGGGCAGCAGTGCCATTAATCGCAGGAAAAACCCTGTACACACAGTGGCCCGGTGCACTGTTAGATCTCCTCTTCAAAATATACAGAACTGTAAGACACTGGTAAGCGAACTTTTTATCCCAGTAATCAAAGTTTATCTTAAAATCTTGTAATTTTTTGTCTTATAATTACTACTTATTATAATTCATTTATAATTTTTTAAAATCTTTTTTTAATCTTATATCTTTAATCTTATTTCATTAATCTTGTTCCATTAATCTTATATCTGCCTTTAATCTTCTTATATTTATAATCTTATATCTTCAATCTTATATCTTTAATCTTATATCTTAAATATTGTGTCTTAATCTTTGATCTCTTGTATCTTTT